GTAAAATAAAAAAGCTGAAAGCCAACTTTACAAAAAAAAAAAAAAAAAAAAAAAAAAAAAAAAAAAAGAAAAAAGAAGTGCTATGGTATTTCTTTTGTTCCTTTTTTGAGATTTGTGTAATACTATTAGCCAGTGCTGAGAATGAGCTGCTCTGTAAGCCCACAACAAAAACATCACCCGTTTGAACAACAGGAGATTTTTTTTTCCCAGAGTTTTGTTTTGTTTTGCTTATTTTTCTCCCACTGGCTTTAACAGAGTCTCTCTGTGCTCACTTGGATTTTATTTTTTAAATTATGATATGTGTAACTGCACGTAACAAGCTTGTTCACCTGGTAGGCTTCTGCAGGCTCTCACAGCCCTAGTTAAGATGTGATTAGTTGCTAAGGAGTTTGACTAACACCATATGCCATCAGATTACTGTGCAGTTCGGAAGAAATCCCAAGGCTATATTCTCCTTTTCTTGAATGTTTCATACGCTTCTGCGAAGCGGCGGCACAGTATTTTTTTTGAACGACTAGGAAGAATTGATCTCCATAGTCCGCATTCTGCAGACTGACTGGCACGTTGGCAAAAAAGCTTTTCACATGGCTTCTGATTTCTCTGTGTGTTTGTGTGCATAAGCTTTTACAGTTAGAAGGCTCACAAAAGCTATCTTCCGTACGACTTTGCAGGAAACTCATTTAAGATGCTTCCTGCTCAGATTATCCAAGTGATAAGGCATGACTAGGGGGAGGGAGAGAGAGAAGAAAATCAAAGAAACCGTAACATGGCTAAAATGTACAAATCCTCTTTTGCCCCCCAATCAGATATTCACTTAGGTGGAATCGACTGTATCTTTTGTACACAACCAACAAATAGAGGAAAAAAAAAATAAAAAAAAAAACAGGAACGTGAAACAGTGAGGTGTGTAGATGTATTACCAACACATAATGACCACCAACAATACGAGACACAAAGTAGAGAGACAAGTATTAGGAAAATGGTTTAATATTGGAGACAGAAGCAAAAAACTGCATCACACAATAACATACGTTACAAAAATAAGTCTGACTGTTTCAACTACACGGTTATGTTCACAATGAGGACAGAAGAATCAGAAAAAACTCTGATCTAAACAGCAAAAAAGCAAACCCCTAACGCTTTAACTAATACATTTATCCACGCAAAGTGACCGAGTACTCCTAATTCTAATTACCTTATTGTGTAACTGCACGATACAGAATAAAAAGTGAAACTTACCGCTTTTGTTAAGACAAAATTCTAAACACTAGATATAAGCAAAGGGAAAAAAAGAAACCAAGCCAAAGTTTTTAATTCTCTAAACAAAACCAACTCTCTTTCTACCGTCCAGAAATCAAACTTGAAAATCAGTCATGATCGAGGGGGCCCACGAGAGTAAGCCACAAAAATTTCCATTTGTTTTTTAATCTCCAGTATAAAAAGTTCCACTGGTACAAAATGCGTTAAGTACAATCAGGTCGTAGAAATAGGAAAGCTTGCTTTTTTTTTCTTTTTCTTTTTTTTTTTTTTTTGGCTCAAATTCCATCAAACAACAAAATTCAAATGCATCAATAAAACAGAAACAATACTCAAATGGTCTTACAGTTTCCACTAGATTGCATTAACTTTGGCTTTTCTCAGACAATACTTAAAAACTAGTTTGTAATTCTAAACAAAATGATAGTATTATTAATCTACAAACAACAATTCTCACAGCACAAAAAAAACACAAATACATAGTTTTTTTCTTTTTTTTTTCTTTTTTTTTTTCTTCTTTTTTTCTTTTTGTATGACATTATCCAAAAAAGTAATGAAACTACAGGATATTTTTTCCTTTTGTTAATTAGCACTTAAGATAATAAAAACAGA